CCTCGCTAGCAACAATGTGAATTCTACGCATCATGTAAAGGGGGATCTATCGCACAAGAACGAAACGAACGACACAAGTCTCACATGGCTACCTAGGTGCTCAATCATTCATTCTCACTCCCTAAACTCGATGCATAGGCAACTGTGAAAAGCAAGTAATCGATTCAAACATCTATCGGTTCACAAACATATGAGAAATGAACCTATGCACAAACCTAATACATGTCTCAATCGTCATCATAGGTTGCACATAATCACAAGCAAACCATCCATAGACAATGCTAATAACCACGAGAATCAAAACAAATCACCACATGGTGCCACTATGATCATGCAAATGTAGAAGTTGTTATGGTTGGAGCCCTCAAATTTTAAAAATATGGGCATACAACTAGGCTCCAAGCAGGGGCGAATATAGGTTCAAATCCCCGTGGACGCGTTTTCCGCATTTTAATTGATTTTTATTATTTCTAATTGCCTAGTACTGCTTTTAACTATTGTTTCACCCTTTATTATCATTTTCAACAACTTTGTCGGATTTCCTTTTCTGTTGAGTAATTTTGAATTTTACTTCCTTTAGTATTTAGTTATTTATTGTTTGTATTATTGGATAATATCTTGTTTTGATTCATTCAATAATTATTATCTTTGTAAATGTGCATTTTGAATGAAAATAATAAAATTTAGCTACAAAATGTGAAGTTTCTTGATTCAATAGACAAAAAATATTCAAAACATTTACCTTGAATATCTTGTTTTGATTCATTCAATAACTATTATCTTTGTAAATGTGCATTTTGAATGAAAATAATAAAATTTAGCTACAAAACGTGAAGTTTCTTGATTCAATTGACAAAAAATATTCAAAATATTTACCTTGAATATGATTTTACGAATCTATCTATCAAAGCAAAAGAATGTGCAATTTTTCAATTTTTAGCCACCCACATGGAAATACTGGCTTAGCTGCAGATTTTCAATTTTTGGCCCCCCCCCCGGAATAGGAATCATGGCTTCGCCCCTGGCTCCAAGCATTCAAAATCACACCAAACATTCACACACGCATGCATAATGGACTACCCCCCCCCCCCACCACACACTTAAGCTCGACATTGCCCTCAATGGTGTAAAAGAAGAGGATAGAACGATGTTACCGGTCAAGTTGTGAATGTTTGCACTCGGGAGCGGAGGGTGGGTTAGATCCGGAAAAGCGTGGTCACATCCAAAACACCACCAAAATCTCTTGAAATGGTCGTCTTATTTAAACGAAAAGAAAACAAAGTGATGGAATGGTTGGGTTGCCTCCCACCAAGCGCTTCTTTAACGTCATGAGCCGGACGCTTGCTCCTCAAGTTTCGGTCCACCCAAGAACCTCCTTGAAGTTGAGGTTCTCATCGGTGAGGTGGTGTCTCAAGTCACGAGCATTGGACGAATCCATGATTGAGGGCTAGTGACTTGATTTTTCTTGAGGCTCCACCCACGAGACCTCTTCTTCTTTCTTTCTTCACTTTTCTCTATGCCCCACACCATATTGTGCAACCTCGATCGACTTCCATCGCATCCACCAAGAGGGATCGCCGATGGTTTGGCCTTGGTTCGGCAAAAGCCGCAAATGAGTCCTTCTCAAGTAGAGCATGGAGGTCAGGTGGAAAGTTTTTATAGCCCTCGTAACTTATGGAGCTTCATCCACCTCGACCTCGTCCTCATCTTGGACTCCACTTGCACCTTCTTCTTATTCTTCAACATCTCTTCCTTCATCTTCAATGTGTTCCTCCCCTTGGGAACAATCAAGATATTCTCCTTCTTCAATGCTTACTTCCTCCTCTTCAACCTCTTCTTTCTCCTTCCCATTCATGTCTCCAAGCACGAATTTGAGGGCAAGATGCCATGCAAGGTCATAAAAGGGATTCTCTTGCTCCTCCACACTCATGTCTTGGTCTTCAAAGTTGAAAAATGCCCCATGAAGGCTTACTCTGCCAGCTCCAACTTGGATCTCTCATCGGGTTGAGGAGGGAAGTTTTCTCCATATGGGGAAGCTTCTTGATACCCCCATTGGTATGCTAGTTTCTCTTGAAAGGGGGGTAGGTAATAGAACTTGGATCCTTGGCTTCCCCCATTTTGATGGTCCCATGAAGCTCTGGGGTAACCACTCTCAAGTGGTGGTGGATACCCTCACATGTCGGTGAAGTCGTAAGGATCCATGATTCATAACCTACACAAACAAAAACACAAAAACAAAATCAAACAAACACAAACCACCCTTCCAAGACAAGAGTGGGTAAACAAAACGGCTAAAGTAACGGCCTAACCCTTTTTCAAATAACCTATAATGGGTCCCCGGCAATGGCGCAAAAAACTTGAATCGATCTAACTACAACATCCCAATCGACAGTCAAGTATAACCGCCGACCGGGTGTAGCATAGGGCAAACAAGCAATAAGAATTTATCGTACCACGGGGATCTAGGCTTACCCTACTTCAAGTTTAGGGTTCGTTATCTAGCCAATCCTAGGATAGTGATTAATAAAACTAAGCTAACTAACCTAGACTAACCACTAACCTAGCTATTTACAAGGTTTGGAGCTCTCTTGGGTTAAATCCTCATATTTCCGGCCTTTGGATCGATATTAAGTATCCTCCTAGTTCGATCGACTCAAATACTATACCGTTTTGAGAATGACTCCCTCGAGAATGACCCGGAATGGCAAATCGGTGGATTGGTAGTGCTTTATTCAACCTAGGGTATCGTATAATGCTAGGAGACCGGTCGAATCAACTCCCTCAGGGACTACCCGGACAATATACGATAGGAGTGACCCGAAGACGCCAAGGAAGGGGCTCTAGGGGGATTATCCCACTCCTAGGTCAAAAGCTCAAAGCATGAAAATGAAAACCACACTCATGCCATTCATGAAAACATCCATCAATTAAGTAAAATCATCAATCAAACATGGAATGTTTCACATACATCAACATAAAACCAAAATCTAGACCTAGGGTTCTTTAACCCAAGACAAGAGGGTGATTTTCTAGAGAGAAGAGAGATTATAAAGAAACCTATAGATCTTCTTCTTCTTCTAGACTTGATTCCTTGCTTCCAAGCTTGATCAATGCCTTCAATTAAGCTCAAAGATCACTCCCTTTCTCACTAGAACTCCCCGTTGGTGTTTTGGGTTGAAACCCTAGAGCAAGAAAGTTTTCATTCTCCAAAAACCAGCTCTCTCTCCCAGCTGTTGTCTTCATATTTGCCCGAAAGTGACCAGTTCACGACCGCGTTGACCAGTTCACGACCGTGAACACATAAACGCGTCTGTGAACTCAGTGTCGTCTCCAAAACGCACCGCTTCACTCTCCTGGGTTCACGGTTTATGCTCAAAGTTCACGGTCTTGGTGACCGTGAACTCAGTCGGCGCTAGTAACCTCAGAATTCGCCTTGGACACCTCGTTGTTCATGGTTTGTGGATCTAGTTCACGGCCTTAGAGGCCATAAACTCCAATGTCAGACCGTGAACTGCAGCTGATTCTTGGACACCCGCCCTTCACTGTTACGGGGCAATTGTCACGGTTGGATTTTTCTTTGGTTTTTTGCGCTTTTTTTAACCTCCAATCGTTCCAAAGCTCATCCTCGACCCTTCCACACACATGTGCTAGGACTTGAAATGTATCAAATCAAGCACAACCTAGCGTGAAATATGTTGAGGGACGATGAAATGCAAAGCCAAACTAGCAAGAAATGAGGGGTAAAATGTGTACAATTGGACCCGAATCATCGACAAACATCACGAATCCAGCACTACTGCCGGAAAATCTGCCTCCGGCGTCTCTAGTCGCCAAAAAATTTGTCGTCGCCGATCGCTGGGAAATTCACAGTCGTTGGACTCTCTCACCTTCTCTACATAGGGACTTTCCCCTCAAAAAATGGTGGGCAAAAAAATTACACGCCGTCCGCGCGGGGGGGGGGGGGGACTCTCAAAAAGGCGATCGGCCGTCGGAGCTCGGGTGGGAGGGACGTTCGGCTAGGGCTGGGAAAATAGATCAGACCGTTAGAAAACCCGTGGTCCAAACCGTACCACACAGTTTGGTCCAGACCGTAGACCGTTAAGTATGATCTGGTCTGGTCCATGGTCTATATTATTTTATGATTTGATCTCTTGGTCTGGTCTGGTCTAGACCGCGGTTTACCAGACCAAACTGTGGACCCGAGCGACTTGTCAATACGTGTTAACAACCCTTTCGACCACTCTCCTAACTCCCACAACGACACCCAAGTCTCAACCTTAGTTTTGTGAATCTCGTCCCTCCTTCATTCACAACCACATTTAACCAGAGAGTAGAGATAATTGTGTCTCCATATGACATTATGTTTAATGTTTATGACGTTATGGTGCAAGTTGAGATGCTTTAACTTTGTATCTTTGTTATGTACTAAGATTTAGGGTATCAAAATTATTCATGCATGTTAGAATTAATGTTTTGAGGCAAATAACAATTATTTTTTTGGTTATTGGTTCAATTTTTTGTGTGGTTGACTAAACAAATTATTCATTTTTCGTTGACTGTGGTCTATCTGGACCAGGCCATACCGCACAGGCGTGGTCTGGACCGGACCATATAGTCTGTGGTCTGGTATGTGGTCTATACTTCAGCCTCTCGGTCTGGACCATAGACCGTATATATGGTCTGGTGTGGACCAGACCGCACCGTTTCCCAGCCCTACATTCGGCGCCCACATTTTTTTGTTTATTTTAATTATTAAACAAATATTCTATGTAATTACTTCATTGTCCTTCATTAAATTTGATTAATTGGAGTCATTAGATTTTAATGAGATGAAAGAGATGACATTCACCTAATCATGTGACTAAAAATCCCCTAGTCATGATCGTACCCTAGTTTCCACTCGAGAATCCATGTTGATAGTCAATCGATGGAACATATATAATTAAGTTAAGTCATTACGCCCTATCAACAGTTAAGTCATTGCGCCCTATCAACTGAAACATTGATTCAATCTCTACTATGAAACAATACAACAATTCATTGGACAGGATGGAGTTAGGGGAACTTGTACATTTCGTATAGATTTAGGCCAAAATTTAGGACAAAATTGAGTTGAACTACTACCGTTGCTATAAGGTCCCCAGAAACAACGCACCAAAAAGATATGGAAAGAAAAAGACAACCCTCCAAAAGGGCATAGAAGAACTATTAATAGGGATCCAATAAACAACAAGAAAATAGCCCCGACCCCCAAACCATGCAGTAGTACCAGTCCCACAATCGCCAACCTTGGCCTGCAAAACTGTCAATCCTTCTTTCCAAATCAAATGCGAAACCCATGAGCAAGGCTTGAGAGCACCTGCATTCTCCCCCCAAGTAGCTGCCACGGGAAGCCTAGGGAAACCCACCGGTTTCAGTTTACCACTCTGCTTCTGAGTGCCTTACCTGATATCCCCTTTCGTCTTGTTGTGGATCAACTGATTCATTATAACTCTTTTCACAACACTCTTTAAGTGCCAAATATATGTCTGTGAACTGGAGGAGCTTCTAAAGATTTAACTACATCTAACCATGGCTTGTCGACGATCAATATGCTATTCTCTGAAAGGTGCCTCATGAATAACACGGGATCCCTGAAAGAATGAAATTCAAAGTTCTTCCTATTTTCAGTCTTTGTTTGATACTCTTTCAGTATTCTTTTCAGGCTACCGTTGTTCACCGGGGTTTTCAATCGTATCTTTTTTGTGGAAACAGGACCGTTAGCCAAGTCACCATCTTCCTCTCTATCCACTGGCATCCCGAAGTCGATCTGACACCTTGCCCTGCACCCATCAATCATGAGGCAAACATCTCAAGTGACTGAATAACAGATTTACAGTCCATGAATATTCTCCAAGACCATGATTTGATAGCCCTAAGAAAACACTCAAGTGACTGAATAACAGATGTGACCAACTCAATTAACTTAGGATAGTGCTACGACTTTGAAAATGACAACAAGGAAACTATGTAAACACACCTTGCACTATAAATGAAGGCAGATGCAGAAGCAGACGAAGGCTGAAAAGAGAGACCAATAACTTCTCCAGGAAACTCCTGGTATCTCCTTGGTAGATAGGAAGTATGCCTCCTTGACCATTCCCCCAACTGTTTTGCCTCTACATCAAATGCATAAACTTGGTTCGCGGAGGTAGTGACTACAAGCACATTGTTATTTTGTGGTGGGAAACCACCAGCAGTAACAGAAGCACCATCTAGTCTCGAAATGAACCAATGTTGCCTGTATAGTAATAAAAAAAATCAGCATATTTAAAACCTATATGGAACAAACATTAGGATACACATAACTCTAAACAAAACCAGGCTTCAGTAGAAATATATCCAGACTTAATAATTAATCATGACACCAGAGCAATAGATTCAGAATTTCAAATCTCTTAGGCAATTTTCAAAGTGATCAATCGACATCCTCTTCTATGACTGAGAAGATTCATTATTAGCAACCACATATATATCCAAACACCAAACAATTCACTTGGAAGAATGTCCTCTTTTCATACCAAGGATCCATCAGTTTATAAGAAGCAAAATCTGAATGCAGATAATCAGAATGCTGAAGTCACGTGAAGCCAATCCACACGAAAAAGAAACCAAGGACTGGGGTTTATTTACACCTTTGTGTCTCCATGTTGAACACATAAATATCGCCAAAGCAATTAACGGCAGCTAACCACTGTCCGTCGTTGCTGGTGAACATTTTTGTCATTGGAGGCTCAGAGGGCGGTAATTCCTCATTGTAATCGTGACGCTGGGGAGTGAAGGCATGCACTAACTCAGAGGTCTCCATATCAACAACCTACAGATACCATGCAATTATGAGATATGATATCGATCTCATAGCATGCAAATGGAAATAAACCCCAATTCACTACAAGCAGAGAGCAAGAAGTCCTGCCCCCCACACAGGCACTCATCAACAATGAAGTCGACTGAAATAAATAACCAATCCCTCAAGGTATCAAATTATTTAAAATGAAGGAACGGTCACAGTTTAAAGCAAAGTAACACCCAACAGTAGAACAAGGAGACAGTACTTACATATATCTTTCTGTTGTGGCCTGCCAATATTAGCCTTGAAGAATCAGAACTAAAGATCATACAATGCGAGTATGGCAACTTGGGAGGAAGTGGTACTTTGCTTACTGTCCATGCAATTTTGCTAGCTTCATGCTTCTTCAATTCAAAAAGATTGGGCTTAATGTGGTCTGAGTAAGCAAATAGCATTCCAGTATTAGAAATGGCACTACATATGATCTTACGGGATGCTTTTGTTTTTATTCTAGCCAGTAAATCTGTGGTTGCACGGCCCTTTGATGAACCAGGAACACCATCTGCTATGTTTCCACTATTTGACCGGACAGATAAAATATCTAAGGAATTAGATGCTTGGACAAGAAGTAAGGGATTCTTGTTGAACACGGTATTAAGAACCAAGTGAATGGGCATTCTCTGAGGTGCGGGACAGATGTCGTGGGGAGAGAACTTAGAGAACTCCTTGGCAGAATAAGCATATAACTTTGTGTCATCACCAGCAGAAATTAACATGGGAACTCCTAAATGTGCCCACTTGTGATAGCTAAACTCAATATGCCGCCTCCTTTTCCGGCCCATTTTCGCCTTCTCCTCAGGTAAAGCATCTGTACTCCATGATCATAAAATTAGGAAATGGAAGAGTGATTGTCAATACAAAACCGTAGCCTTAACACAACTAAAGTGACTAAACCAAAGGAGAATGAGAAACATACCTTCACGGCTGATTGGTACAGTCATAGTTAAAGCTCTAATATCATGTGTATGAGCTCTAACATAACCAACATAGACCCATTTCTTCATTACAATGGATGTAGATGTATCAACACTAGATCCAACTACATCATTAGAAAGCTTATAAAGAATAACCTACAAACAAACACAAGCGGTTAAACAACTACCGAAAGCAAATTCAGATAGATATGGGTGCAGAAGAGCAGTGAAACAAAAACCTTCTCCCTATAAAACACTGAAAGAGGACAACAAAACAAGGATTTTCAATCTTGCGAGTAATACCTGACCATCTGATCCAGCAGAAAATACCCTGGTATGACTAGGAGCAACTGCCAACGCATTTACATCACCCTTATGATAAGAATGTGCTTGCAAGAGAGTCCCATGCTGAGAGTCCCAAAACTGAACAGTGCCAGTACTGTCTGCACTAACGAGGGTCCCACATCTACAATTGACAACAAACACATCAGCTTATTTTAGGAAGGGTGGAGGAAAATCATTAACCTAGCCCTACAGTTTTCAAGCAGCCAGCACAATTCAAACGATTGCTATTCTACCTCAGTGCAAGCAGAGACCACACACAAATTTCAGTTCCACCACCCAGACCACCAAGCCCAACTGTGATTCTATATATTTCATGGCCCAGCGTCGCATCCCAGCATCTAATAAAACTGCAAAAAGAGATTCCTTAAACAGGGTTAAAAAAAAGTAACAAAAGGCAATATAATAAAATTATATAAACCATCCCAAATAAACATTGAAGCTCATAGTCATAATTCATTATGACTAAATGCCATTGATGCATGCTACACTGTTCTAACCAGCATGATTTATAAGCTGTTGCAATACCTAAATTGTACAAAATCATTTGAGCTGTTTAAGAACTCACCCATCGCTGCTGCCTGAGAATAGCTTACTCGCATCACAACTCCATGTCACACATAAAGTGCGGCCTGTGACATTAAAAACAAACAAAGTGTTATTCACACAGGGTAAAGAAAATAAAGCTAAGTAACAGTACAAGGGTGCAGATATCTCACCACTGACCCTAGACAATGTTCTATTGTATATCAACTCATCAGATTCTGGAACAGTGTATATACGCACACAACCATCGTCACAAGCAATTGCCAAGGGCGTATCTTCAATAACTTGATTGAGATGCTCGTCAGAGCTTGAATCATCATCACTTTCACTAGATTCATTATCATCATGATCGTTACCATGATGGATGCCATTCAAGAAGCCATTTGCCAAATTCTGAGACTTGACCTCTGAGGGATGTGCTCCACTGGGAGGTGCAACCGCCATCTGCCAAATCGAGAAGGCAGTTGACTCCAGAACAATCTACAGACAAATGAAAAATGGCTTATGATTATGAAGCAGAAAAAGAATAACCCTTCACCTTCTGAGCCAGCATTTTTCAATGGAATGGAGTAAAATGATCTAAGCACGTACAAATGCATACTGACTGTCACATTCTCACAAAAGCAGATTTCCAATTCCGGATCCACTCAGTACAGTAAAGCAGATGAATGTAGGTATGATTTCTGAACCAGTTACTTGAATGTCATTGCTTGTATGCATGACGGGACAACATAAATGCAAGATATATTTCAAAAAGAGGACATTAAAGAAAGTGAAACAGCCCAGCAAGCAGACCAAACTCACCTTTTGCTTCAAGTGAAAAAGGTCCCACTCTGAAATAGACCCATCAATGCTTGACGAGAACAATCTGCCACAAGGTAATCCCTTCGAGCCAGCCCGACACCACACGAGCGATGAAACTCTTGAACTACGATCGCCATGAATAGTCTACACATAACAAGCACTGATAAATGATAAAACTCAAACCAGCCCAATTAATGCAAGAGAAGTTTCAGTGTTCTACACATAAAGAGAAACATTGGAAGAGAGAAAATACCAGCTGGCAGTGCCAACCAACTGAGCCAGGAGAGACGAGCCAAATCTCCAGGGAGCCATCCTCCCTAGCGGCGGCAACTTGGGAGTCATCGGCGCTGGTAGCTAGGGCTACAACTGGAGACGGCTTCCACTCGAGTGAGCTGTTCACGTAAGTCGCCTTCAGCATCTCAACCCTGCAACGCCGTCCAGGGTTGAAGAAGTCCCTCCGAGAAGGATTGCGGTAGAAAGGCAGCCAAAACCAACAACCGCACCTGATTGAGCAAATGGGTGAAAAAGACCGAACCCCACTACAGGAAATCAGAAACCAAATTCAAGATGCAGTTTTCCCGTAACAAAATTGAACGCACTGAAGATTCCGAACTGCGGCAAAATGTATGGTGGTAGAAGGAGACAGAAGCAGGAAGTACCTTGCTTAGGGATACGGTGGCTTAGGCTGCGAGCAGGCGGTGGACCAAATTGAAGCGGCTGCGGTGGAGGGAGATACAGTCGATGAAAGAGTAATCAAGGCTGGAACGGGGAGAAGGGGGAAGAGAAAGGGTTTAGGAATTAGGGGTTTGTTTTCCTGTAACGACAGCTTTGCCCCCCGCCTCCCTCCCTCTCCCGTCTGTATAACGGCGGCACTCTTACTGCGTGGGCTTCAGTTCTAGTGGGCCTCGTAATGGGCTAAGCCTTTGCAGAATCTAGAATGAGTTATTGACACGTTGGTTTGCGAATTGACAACCCAATTACCATTTGATTTTTTTTTAAAATATTTATATAGGTTTACTTTTTGTTGTTGTTTAAATCTTATCTTATCTCTTAAAAAATATTAAAACAGTTTCTATTTTGGCCCTATGCCACGTAACCCAAACTTGAACCGGAGGCTATCCACGTCACATGGTTATTTTTTCCCTTTTCACTTTGTTCTGCCCTCCCGGGAAACTACTTTTACAGTTTTACGGCTTTAACTGGCCCCATCTTCTTCCCTTTTCCTTCATCCGCCATTGCTTTCTTCTGCTTCCCAATTCTACTATTTTTTTCCAGAGCATTTTTTTAGGCCACCGTACTGATGAGTGATGACCCCCTTAACTTCCCAGCGGTCAAAAGCCTCTTCTGTACAACAACGCCGCAACCACCGGCATATTGCTTTCCGGTCACCGTTATGATTTTACGAAGGCACCAATTCTCCTCGATGAATAACGTCTCTCCATACAATCAATCAACACCGCAACCTTCCCTACCTTCTGACTGCTCTGGATTCCCGCAGGTAATTTAATATTAAGTCGATTGTTCGTCAGTGTGGTTTCCTGCACCTCTTTCAAACTCTATTTTCCTCCATATATTTCGTTAATTATACTCCCCTTCTGTTTGTCTTATGCTATAGTTATTTTGGTTACTTCCTAATATTTGACCCTTTTGGATTCGTTGAGTTTCTCCCTCCTGCAACTGCAACTGCAACTGCAACATATCCCTGAACAAAGTTTTTTTCCCAAGTTGTTTTTAATGTACGAAGCCAAATATTTGTACATTTATTAGTTTTCCATTGGGTTAATAGCATTTTGTACCCTCTACAATGATAAATTAACAAACATGTCCCTCTACTAAATTTTTACACAAACATACCCTTCTAATATTAATACGTAACGAGTATGCCCTTCCATCTAATTATATGTTATGTGACCGTTAAATGGCTTGTGAAATCACCCAATTACCCCTCATTTACTCTAAATACTCCTAATTTTGATTTTAATTATCTTATTAATCCCAAATCAATTAATTAAAAAAAAAACTTTAACTAATTCAAGCACAAGTGCACTCGACCAAGACCATCCATCTCCTCGGCGGCGGCGCCTGCCCCGACATCCCCTCGCCGGCGGTCGAGTAGAGACTAGAGAGTAGTAATCAAACAAAGCAAGGTTACTGGGTCCAAGGGGATAACGTATAAAAGCTAGATTACTAAGTAGTAAGCAAACAAAATCAACCCAAACTCGACGCCTGTATATTTTATTCCCTGCATCTAATATACAACTTATTGAAAATCAAAGCTAGGTTACTGGATCCAAGAGGATAACAGTATCAGGACAATCGAATCTCGGCCAAGCAAGTATTTGTGCAGGATGCTTGATCACAGTCTCCATCCGGACCTGGGATGACTATTTTCCTCGGAAGTATCAAGCTTCTGCAGGCTGGCATCGGAACGTCGTATGAGAAGCCGGGGAAGGTCGCCCCTGCTGTGTAATCGAGGGGAGCAACGGGTGACATCGGAATGTCGCGGAGAGAATCCGGGAATCTGGCCGTTGGGTCTTGCCTATCAATCGGTTATCTCTCCTCCAGCCGCCGGCGAGGGGATGCTGGGAGCAGGCGCCGCCGACAAGTCAAGGACTAATCGGCAAGGGAAACTTCAGGGGAGACGGACGGTCTCTGGTCGAGTCTGTCTGTGCGTGCCAATTAGTTAGGGATTTGATTTTTTTTAATTAATTGATTAAGAAATAAAATAATTAAAACCAAAATTAGGAGGGTTTAGAGTAAATGAGAGGTAATTGGGTCATTCCACGTGTCATTTAACGGTCACATAACAGATAATTAGATGGAAGGGCAAATTCGTTACGTTTTAATATTAGAAGGGTATGTTTGTGCAAAAATTTAGTAGAGGATCATGTTTGTTAACTTACCATAGTAGAGGGGTACAAAATGCTATTAACCCTTTTCCATTTTTTCTTCTTAACGGTTTTTAGATGGATCTTTTTACGGCTTTTCAAATGTGTTATATTGGATTAAATAAATTTTTTTTGATTTATTTTATGGTTAAATGAATTACATTTCACGGAATTAATTTAATCTTCACAAGAGATGATCATTTAACTTGATATACGACATATTCAAACTTTAGATATTGAGCATTAATATTGAATTTCGATTGCTCATTTGAGAAATAGACAATTACTTACTTATGATCTCATAAATTTATATTGGGAGAATACAAATATATTGTCGAAAATGAAATTTGAAAATATTTATAACTTAAAATAGTTAATCCTAACCGTAAATTACTTTATTGATAAAATGATATGTGAAACTTACCCGGCCAATAGGCCGGGAACAAAGCTAGTACTATTTAAGAGAATAGAATATGGGAAGTGCAGATTCAATGCTAATGGTATTACCATTTTTTTGCTTAAATCTTAACCCAAGATAGCTTGCATTACCAAGATTTGTAGTTCAAACAAATACAACTTCATATAGAGCCAAGCACAAAAATCAAAACATAGTACATCACTAGTTGACAATATAAGAGTTTTCCTTGCCACCATATGGGAAACCCTATTATGTTGTCTCCCAAAGAACTGTACTACCACCCTCCGAATACTCCTACGGTCCTACCTAAGAGCCTGAATCTCACGATGGAGGGCAACACCACCCTAAGCTACAACCATGCACCGTGGATTTACCTTGTCAATAATCCTCTTCACGTCTCCACGAAGCAACACAGAGTTGAACCCTTAGCTACACACCAATGAAAGACGTCACGAAGCGCACGGCTTTAGTCATCACAACCGCGCCAGATGCATCCTGAATGACCAGACCAATTCCCGCATGCGAATCTATACACAGAGCCTCATCAAAATAACAAACCATCCCTTTGATCAAACCTGAAGCTGGCTCACTAACATGCCCCCATGAGCAGCCGCCAAACCTGGAATGTCCCTTCGAAGTTTTTCAAGCCATTCATCAATATGTTGATTAAGCTGACAACAAAGCACCCATAAGGATACTTGCTTAAGTTCAAAGACCACCCAATTACTAGCCTTCCAAATCCGCCAAAGTATAGCCACAAGCTTAAGGATCACCTCCGGAGAAAGAACAAGGTCCAAAAAGCGATGGAAGAACACGACAAGGTTGGTTGAGTTGACCTCTACTACCAAATTCCAAATCCCCGCCTCTGCCCAAAGCGATTGAGCCACCGTACAATGAATGAAGAGGTGATTCATCGTAATTTTTAAAAATGACGGTAAAGATTTGGTGGATCGTAATTTTGTAACCAAAAAGAGATGTCATATGTGATTGTTACTCCTTCTTACTTTCCATATCCTCCTCTCTTAGTCAACTTTCATCTCCTCCTACTCCTCTCTCCCCCATCGCTCTCCATCTCTAGAGAAAAACCTAAAAAACGAAAAAAATTATTTGTCTCTAGGCTCTAACCCACTGATGATCTCCCTATTCACCGACCCTCAGACTCTAGCATCGTTGTCCCAAGTGGCAAAAAACCTAGATCTGCATCCGCAGGTTACACGATTCATCCTCTCTTTGAAGTTGTGTGGCTCAGTTATGGGTGTTGCCTCCATCGGTTTTTGCCTCGACGACGAAGAATGACTGAATCTGTGCACTTCGACATTGTGGCCTGCCTCGATCTGAATCATCATCAGTTTTCACCTCGATAGCTAAGAAGGTGTTGAAGTTGTGCGGCGCGACAACATGGACCCATACTCGTTGCTCTTACTCTTCATTTTCCCCTCCCATCCACGGTTGCTCTGACTATTCGCTTCCCCTTCAGTGGGAATGGTTTTTTTGTGGTACTAGTATTTTTTTCCATTTTAGTGGTATTGGCTTTTATCCTTCTATCAAACGTACTATTATTGGTTTGATCTAGTGGTGTTGGGTTTTTTTATATTGGTATTGAGTTGGCAGTGTTTTTGCATTTCAACTCTGAATTTTAGGGCAGTGATCACTAGTGGCGGACTCAGGGTCCTTATAAGGGTGTCCCGAGACACCCACAAAATTTAGGTTGGGGGAAGGGGGAATTAATGATCCCCTGATAATATTATTAATTACACGAAAAATCAATTGTTGTTGTGTTTAAAGCGTAAATCCAATTATAATATAAAATAGGCAAAATACACTTGTATAGCCAAAACTTTCACGTTTGTGCCAATAATAGCCAAATTTGGTGAAATACCACTTATAGCCAAGTCCGTCCAATTCTTTAACATTGTTAACGTTAAGTGTGACTGGGCAAATGGGGCAGCTTACTTGGACCGCCTAAGATTTCCACGTGGACAATAATTAAAAAAAAAGATACAAAATCAGAACCACTAATTTTGTTCTCTCTTTCCTCTTTCCTTATCCTCTTCATCGAACCCGCCCTGAATCCCATCGACGAAGGCAAAGGCGACCACGAAGGCGACGAAGGAGACGATCTTCCTCCGACGAACCCTGTACCCACCGCTATTCCTTCCTCCACAATCAATATACACCCCTCCTCCAGTCCCGATTTTCCTCCATTGATCGAGCTGAATCTACTGCATCCTTCCTCGAGAAACACATATAGAGAATGGGTTGACTAACCGGCGGCGAGCTTTGGCCGAGTCCTTCGAAGCTTCTTCTCTTCCGTATGCTTTGGAGGAATCTCAGAATTGATCCGTAGCAGACGCGATTCTACTGCGTTCGTGAAACCTTAATCTCACTTCAAAGCTTGATTTGTGCTCTCCCTCGTCAGTCGCGACTGGTAAGGAAACTTTCTTGGTTCGTTATTGTGGGTTTGATAGCGAGCTGTAATTGAATACTGAAGGTTTGAGGAAAGGGATAGGTTCTTA